AACCATCAAACAGATCCCGATTGTCTGTGTTTTCTCCATTGTCGTTTACAGTCATTACGCGAACGTTACAAATTATGAACAAATATGCGAGCGGCGATTATGACGTAGCGGGCAGATATACTATATCTGCCCGCTCGGAGCGGGACGTAAATAGAGGATATCCTATGATTTATGAGTGATATGATTTTTATCCACGAATGGATATGATATCTGCACGAGGGAGCGTAGCGAGAGAGTGCAGATATCAATAACCATGAGTGGATTAAAATCATATCACGAGTAAATCATAGGATGTTCTTTTTATTCCATAGTTAAAGTCATCATCAGAATCGTCGGAAATTAAGTCATTTAATTCGAATTTTCCAAACGATCCGGCGATATTGACACTTAGCCTCGTTTTGAGTCTGAAGTAGCAAAAATCCATAAACCATCGCATACGACGTCGTATGTCATGGCTAAAAAACCGTATGCTATGGTTAAGTGAAAATTTGTCAAAAATATCATATTTTACCACTGATTACAAAAATACCGTTTTTATTTTCACATGTTATCCTATGAATATCATGCTAACTATGGAATAAAGCTATGTATCTCATACTTTAGTGGGTTTGGGGTAGATATCACCCGGGAATATATATCGTATCTGAGGAGCGGGCAGGATATATTGTGTATGTCCCGCTTCAGGACAAATGCGGGCAGATATAATATATCCATCCCGCTCCCGGGAATTTTTCAAAAGTTTAAAAAAGTTTAAATATCAAAAGTTTTAATTTTTTAATTTTCAAATTTAAATTTTTTAAGTTTAAATGTTACAATTTCATTGTATTGAACAAAAAGAATATTACGAAAATGTTCAATATAAATATTTTGTCATTTGAAAAAGGTGGAAAAGGTTATATCTACCCTAAACCCACTCAAGTATGAGATACACCAGTTATGCACGGTCGGTTTGGATACATGGAATATCCCTTGGGATATACAATACATCTTCCCTCGGTCCCTTCGGTCCCTCGGGAAGATATATTGTATATCCCTCGGGATATTCCCTGTATCCAAAACCTCCCAGTGCATAACCCCTATATCTGCACGCTGATGAAAATATAAGTTTTTACAAACCGGCTTTATGTACCTGTAACACATCCAAGTATGGGATAAAAATGTTTATGCCATGATCACACTGATACTAATTCTATAATATAGCACGTTGATAAATAAAAATGATATTGAGGTTTTTGTTACATCATCCCCCGAGATCATCCCGCATATTTCCCGAAGTATCAAAACCAACTGAGCATAACTGTTGTATTCCATACGGTACCTGATGAGGTTTGAAATAATAAGCATTATCCCATGTGCTAGCTCTCGATCAGCAGGTAATAGATGTGTATTTTTCCATTCTAAAAGTTTAAATAGGATTGGATTTGTTATTATATATCATAACATCAATAAATGGGCTCCTAGTCACATAAGAGATGTATAAAATAATGCTAATAATTTTTTTAATTAAATGTGACGATAAATCAAAGAATGGTTCTGTAGGTCAGTATACAGTACTCTCAATTAAATGCTCATAATATTGGACAAATGTAAAGTCTCCGAATTGCACTTGTGGCTCACCAGAAACTTTTAAACTCCTCTTTTTCAACTGTCCATTTAGAAAACAAAATAGCGAATGATACATACATCCATTAAGTAGAACTTATTGACTTCGATTAATGGATCATCATATAAAACCCAAAAGGACAAAATCAACTTATTTCTTTTTTGACACTCCAACTTGACTTCATTTCAATCAGAACTTTTATTTCTAACCTCAACATTTTTCATAGACAATTCAATCTTTGATTTTCATGTAACTGAGTCACATAATTTGCAGACATACACCTTAGAGATACCCTTTACAATTATTCGACTTCACTTCTTAAAAGAGAGCTTCGTCTTCAGTAGTTTATAACTAGACTCTGCGCACAGGGTACCTCAGAGACCAGACTCAGACCCTTCTTTTACCCACCCCTATTCCATACATGATTAGCAGCAGCAGCGTCAGGGGCGGGTCTGGGAACCAACAAGGGGGGCCAAATTTCAGGTCAAAGAAAAAAAAAATTTTGGGCCCCTAAAACGCAAAAGTGGGCCCAAATTTTGAAATTTTGAGGCCCATTTTCTTCAAAATTTGGCCTGAATTAAAAAAATAAGGCCTTAAAAGGCCCAGTAATGACCAAAAAGGCCGACTTTTTGGGGGCCTTAAGGCCTTTTTTGGCCCACAATTTTTTTTGGGCCCAATTTTTTTTTCTGGGCCCACCCAAGGGGGGGGGGGGCGGGCCCCCAGCCCCCCCCCCCTAATCCGCCAGTGAGCGTCATCCATTTTCTTCAACAGTATGATTGATTCCTTATTTCACCAGATATATTTTTTATTTGTCCAAATTTTAGATATTCAAATCCCACTTATGTTTTCTATTGTAATAAATTTTATATGGGGACATGAAATGCCGGAAGGCGATTTGCTCCAACCCTGTTCATTCATTGTATAACTGTATTTATGAAATAAATCTATTGATTGAAGAAATAGTCAGTACTCATTAATTTAGGTAGTTTGGTGAAACATAAACTGAAAGATGCCACTCGGCATGAATATGTTTAGGACAATAAACAAGGCATTAACATGACAAAATGTCACCACCTATTTGCTCACAATATAATTAGTTTAATCTAAAGTCAGATTTGAATTTCTGAAGACTCTGTAGATGATTTTGAAAAAATGGTCAATTTGAAGCAAGTCTTTGACCCTGAGAATGTCATTGAAGGTGAAATCTAAAATCTAAAGTCAGATTTGAACTTCTTGAAACTTGTAGATGATTTTGAAAAAAAAATTGGTCAATTTGAAGCATGTTGAAAAATACCTTTTTGACCTTTCTATGACCTTTTGAAAAAATGGTCAATTTTGAAGCAAGTTAAAAAGACCGTTTTGACCTTGAGAAGGTCATTGAAGGTGAAATCTAAAATCTAAAGTCAGATTTGAACTTCTTGAAACTTGTGGTCAATTTGAAGCATGTTGAAAAATACCTTTTTCACCTTTCTATGACCTTGAGAAGGTCACTGAAGGTAAAATATTAAATCTAGAGTCAGATTTAAACTTCTGATAACTTGTAGATGATTTAAAAAAAATATTTGGTCACTTTGAAGTAAGTTGAAAAAATGAAAAGTCAGATTAAGAACTTCTGAAAACTTGTAGATGATTTGGAAAAAAAGTAAAGTCGGTCTAACAGTATATTCCTAGTTATTGGAAGTTCTAAGAATTTGGTACTTCTTGGTGGTGACATAAAAATGTCCTTTTGCATATGTATTCAACACAACTAGTATTTGTAATAGAACTAATTACTTGTTGAATCAAGTGATAATATACAAAGCAAATCTCGAAAATTGTATGTGAAACGGATATCAAATGAAAAAACTGTAAAATGGTCGCATCGTCATTTCACTGAACAATGAATGTTTCAATTAACTAATGCACATTCAGTACCACTTACCTATAAATGATTCATATAAAAAGTAAAGCGTTTATTGCTATTTATATTTCCAACGATACGGAAAAACATTATCAAGATATCATGATAATCCATTAATGATACACATTACACGTCCCCGATGCTATGGAGTATTCTTTGAGATACTGTTAATATTCAGCCAGTCTGCAGTGTCATGTTACCCTGCGCGCAGAGTCAAGTTATAAATGCCATAAAGACAAAGCTCTCTTTTGAGAAGTGAAGTCGAAAGAATGCAAAAATGCCATCCTTCATTCAAAGGACTAATCATATTACTCAAATCAGATGGAAAGAAGTGAAATACCCCTGGACCAATGATGGCAAATGGCCATGGTATGCTCATGTCCACTTAGTTTGAACATTATCACTTGTACACTTGATAGTTTTGAACATCACATTCTGCTTGCCCTGAGCGTAAAGGTTACTTAGTAGTTCTAATTAAAAGTAAACGACGCCACATTTTAAACGAATGAGAAGGGTACATTCTGATTTACCATATCCAAGAATCGGAAGATTCGAAACAACGTGAACATGTTAATTGCGATACACGTGGTAGCTAATACCCAGAGTCCAATTCGAAGCTCTCTTTTAGGAGCGAAGTCGGAAAATGCAATATAGCTAAAGGAGTGCCTCTAAAAGATGCTGAACGGCTTATTGATAAATGCTCCATTAAGAGATAAAGCAAGATATGAATGCACATTGTGATACTTTGATTGCGCATAATAGCTCGGAGTTCTATCAATATAATATTTCGTAAATTCAGGAACATTTTGATAAGATGATAGAAACCCGGTAACCGAAATACACCAATCATGAAAATGAAATATTCCATTAAAATTCGAAGCTGATTGGTAATAATGTGAAGAGTCATATTTGAAATAGGTATATATAATATACAAATACTTCTGTTTGTCTAAAACATACTACTTTAACATGTGAATGAGGAACGATCAGTCTATGATCAAGTATTCGATCTCCCATCTAATCTAGTTGATAAGTACAGGCAGTACGTGTTATGCAATTTCTAAGTGAGAGGGATCTTGCATCAACACAGACTTGTAACAAATCAGGAGGAAGCAAAGAGAAATCACAAATGTAGAAGGTATACAGATATGTGCTAAAGAATAGGCCTAACAGTAAGTGAAGTAATTAACGATAGTGTTACAGTCTGTAGTTGTAAAGATTAGTTTACTTAGTATTTATTTCATACTAGTCATTTAAAAATCCTGTAAAAAGTTTGAAAATATAAACATCCAAATATTTTTTTCATGGCCTCAGAATTGAGACATTATGGAAGTTCAATGTCTTCAATGATGTAAACATCATGATGTGACATTGCCTAATAATAATCTAAATGATACTTTCAAATATGTATTATTGCAATTTGCATTGTTAGTGGCTGATTTTAGGCACGAGAGAACGTTGACTCGAACCTTGGGAAACTCGTTGGCGTCAACAACAATGCCTGACTACGAAACCTCAACCACCTATAACAGGACAATTAAAACAGTCCAAAATGATGATGGGCGCATATTTCTACCCGTTTTCGGCCAGCCGGGAGCTTGGTTTTGGATAATACACATAGGAGCGGCTTCTAGCCTCTTTATCAGCATCTCTTTCAGCTTTAGTTTGGTCGTTTATCTTGGTGTAATGGGGAAACGTCGCAATCGATCGTTTTGGACATGGAAGTTACCGGAGCGCTTGGTCATCTACCTCGCCCTTTGTGATCTTCTTTGGAGCATCTCTCATAGTATTGACCACTATTTAATGATTATCCTGTACGACCATGTACCCGACCTCCTGTGCATCATCCTAGGATTCCTTCTCAATGAATTGATTTTCATGCAGGCCATAGTTGTGATATTCACCGCCATAAATGCGTTTGTATTAGTCGTAAAGAACAAGAAATTACCATTGGGAAGATATGACTGGAGGTTGCTTGCCATATCCATCTTGATGCCAGCTGCCATTGGATTTGTCTTTGTGTATTTTGACTTGCTCGGTCCAAGTGGAGCATGGTAAGTCACCAAATTTAGGTCACCATCTGCAACTGATCCTTTATTCCTAAACATTCTTTGCAGGTTGATTCGAATTATTTTGGGTAATAAGCCCAACAACGTCAACCAGTTATCATGGACAGCACGTTTGAGTCGGTCAATCTCCAAGGTTAATAGTTTTCAAACTTTTGATTTAGGTGTTTGATTGATGGACGAAATCCTCTCTATGGGCTTGTGATGTCAGTAATGTCCGTTGCCATGATCTTCACTTTTCTGTTTAACCTCGGATGTTACGCGGCAGTTATATTCACTGTGTGGAGGGTCACAAAAAACATCGCCAACTTTAACAATGATGAGGCTGCGACAAAAAAGAAGTGCATTGAAACTGCCAAAACGTTGGTGATCTTCGTCATTGCGTATGCTGGCCAGTGGTGGGCCTATGTTGTCTACTCGTTTTGGGCTTTTGTGGAGCTTCCACCCGAATGGTGGACATTATTAACCGTTATATTCTCCAATATGGGCGGTGTATTCAACTTTTTCGCCTATAGCAAATTTCGTAAATCTCTTGTGGAGGGTCGTAGCAAATCTGGTGCAGATTCATTGCCTTGTTCATCGACTTCTACGCATGGTAGCACGGTGACTGTTAACACGATTACAAAACTCTAAAAGAAGGGAAGCGGATCTCCGAAGTTGCATGGCGGCCGTTTTTGGACACCTGCCTGGTTCATGATCAGATGAATACAGGTATTAACAAAATGACATTTCCTTTAATAACTTTATTATTATTATTGATAAGTTTATTGGTCTCTTGAACATGTAATGTGCATCGAGATATAAGTCCAATAAAGCAAATAACAAATAAAACATTCATGTACTGTACATGCATGGCAAAACAATAATTTGTACACATGCATGGCAAAACAATACTTACAATCTAATTTTAACTATCACTAAATACTATACTTAATATCATAAAATGATTTCACGTCAATTTTGTTTAACAACTCTTTGGTAATATTATGAACTCTTGTAAAATAATCACCAATTACTTGAGTAATAATTCAAGTATTTCATTAATTGCATCATCGTGTGCTAACAAGGAGTCTGAAAATAGACTACTTGTATTGTTTATACTTTTTATTTTACTATTATTGACACACATGGCGCATATTTTGACGTTATCGATGTCGCCAAAGATTTTCATATTTATACGTAATTGTATGATTCGTACAACATGTATTAATCTGTTAATTTTTTACATCCGTCCTACAGAATTATGCAATACATGTAGTTCAAAAGTTGGTACGAATCCGGGTACGAATCATATTTTTCTCCGCGTATTTATTCATTTATGCGTATAGAGTGCAAGATGCAGAACGGACTCTTGTTTAGCTATAATCATGCGAAATATCTCTATTAATATTTTAAGTAACTTGTCAGATGATGAAAGGTATCATAAAATGAGTAAACGCCACGAACGCTAATGGAAAAACGATCTGTCCAATTAGCTGATTAATGTGCAGGTAACATGTCATAAAATAATGATACATCTAATCGATTCTTCTAGAAAGTCCACGATAGATTATGTTAAATAAAAAATAAATACAATCCGTTAGTTTGCTTACACTACCCTCCAAAAGCAACTGAAAGTTTCATTTTGGACCACTTGTTGTTGAAGCTTTATCTTAACGTTTCAGAACAAATTCACTTGACATTATTGCATTAATTAAAATTCAATCATATATAAGGCTTTGACTTTGAATGCGCTAGCAATGGAACCGCTTTCCAAATTTATGGAAATGGGTATTGAATTGTTCATCAATATTTTATCTCACAATACGATGGATGGTTTGCTTTTTTCTCCATATTTGAGGTTAATTTCAGTGGATGGATATGAATCTACCATCAAGATTACAATTGCTTTTATTGGGGCAGGGATGTCTCGCTGATCATGATGGGCAGGTTCACTCCAGACAAACTCAGAATATTCATTTTATTTTAGAGCGACTCAAAAACTAATTGATATCTAATTGTTCAATATGAGTGGTAAACGACTTGTTGCGATTTGTCGCATAGTCCGTGTCTTTAAAGTGTGCGCCTGACCCGGCTACGTATAGCACAGAGTTTATACTGGCGGATTAGACTAGTTCATTTTTTATATGTGTGTGAAAGCTTTCTCTTATTTCACACTACCCTACCTCGATAGCGCATGCGCGAATTTTTGGGCTTTCAACCACGTCGCTTTTGAGTATTTCGACTGCTTAGTCAAAAGGTTAATACGTTTGGTGCTCGGAGTGAGTCAATATTGCTATTCGCTGAACTTTAGTGGTGCAATAGTGAAGTCCATGTTCCAAGTTATATGATAGTTGAAGAAAGAATGTAAATAATATCGTTTCAAATTTTAAAATATTTGATATGTCATAGTACACGGTACACAGATGCAAAAGTTGATCAATACAGGGTACAAGGAATGTAAATTGCTCAATAGTACAGGGAGCGAGAAAGTAAGCTGATTATACAGACATACTATGTCCCGATCTCATGTACATTTACTGTACGTTGCAAACAGTGAAAATAATGCTAAAAAGGCCGCCTGTTGATGCTTTGAGGTGTCATCAATTGTTATTTAATCCAAATAAAGTAAACATTATTTTGTAGATTTAGACAAGGGCGTTCAGGTATACTAGTATGCATTTTAGTCATTAAAGAACGCTAGATAATACGTGTTACTAGGGTATCAATTTAAGATGAAATAACGAAATTAAATATGAACACGTTAATGATAAATGACTATCCGCTATCAGGATTAATGACTATCCGCTATTCAGAATAATTAAAATTGCCTGATATACATGTAAAGAATCGTTCTATATAATCCTTGAATGGTCTAATTCACTACCGTCCTCAAAAAACGATCATTTAAAATATTTTTTCAAAATACCACCATGCCACGACTTGAGAGCATTTTGTTCTTCACGATTTGCTGTAGCGCTGATATGACATCGTATTTCTCTATAATTGTAAAAAAAACTAATACCAGATCGATGTAGTCTTATATGTCGTGTTGAATGTCAGATGTTTTTGGATGGTATCTGCTCCAGTGATTTTGCATTTAATCATTAAACGCTAATCACAAGACACCTCGAAACAAACATTATCCTCTTTGTGACAAGAGGAAAAATGTTTCACAACATGTTATGCCTTACGGCAAAGTAAAGATACATTTCTGGGACGACGTTTTTTGCATCTTAAGATTTTAGAAAAACAATTAATTCACAAAAAAACAGTTGAATAACATACTGGAAAACGTATCCACATATAACACGATGACACGCAGTTTAAATAACAGTTAACTGTTTTTTTGTTACATATCAATGTAACATTTTCGAAGGGAAACTGACATGCTCCCTGTACGTTGATAGATTTACTGAAATGTATCGTGTATTGCATTGAGTTTTGCTTCACTGCGCCAACTATTATCTATCTTTGCCTATAGTGTTTTTTGCCAACAATATTCTACAAACTGCTTGATTAATCAATTCTATGTCTGGTAGAATACTAGAAATAAATATAAAATGTATTTTACGTTCAGAAATATGGAATTAAACCCACGTCCTCCATTTGCAACTAAGCTGTACCCTGTTTCCCTTTTAAACGTGGTCACGTGGTAGGGTAGTGTGTATTTGCGTTTTTTCGTTTAGTACGGTTCTGTTATAATTGCCGAGGTCATATAACCGGGATAAAACAATGATTATCGTTGACTGCCCACACACAAAACATACGTTGATGAGTGAACAGTGTTATTACAAACAACAGGCTTTAGAATACAAAGCGTAGTGTGATAATAAGCTGTACACTACCACTGCTGCATGTACATATTACTTATTTACTAGGGCTCCCAAAGAGTGGATAGGGAGGTTGTGTTTGTCACTTTTAAATTTTACATTTCAAAATTGTCATTTTACATGTCATCATTTGTTGGTTTCATTCGTTTAGCCAATCAAAATATTGTAAAACAATAAATTGTCTGTTACGTACAATCAATTTTGTTCAGTTTTGATTAGTTGTCAGAATAAAGTTACGTTCATCTGAATCCATGTATCAAAACAAAAATCCTATTTTTACTTCAAAATACTTCAGTCAGATGAAGGCTCGGAATTGTCACATGCAATAACTTATTGTCGTATTCGTTATTTTATCTTCTCGATAGTAGCATTTAGTCGCACATTTGATGCCAGGTCACCTTGTCGCGTACCTCTTGGGGAACCCCACATTTATGTGTGTACTCATGGAAGTAAATTCCCCGGTGTAGCCGAGAGCCACTAACTTTTCAACAGGTTCGAAATGACCAATTTCTCTCATATATACTCTAAATATTTTATTATTTAGCACCTACACAGTATTGCTAATAACCATATGTAATTTCAATAAGGAAACTTATCTTGCTACATGTAAATTCAATATCAACCTAGCTGTTCTCTCAACACGTCCTGGCTTACCTTGTGGTGACAAACCCTGGGTTTTCGCTATTTATAGTTTATCAACACCTGGACGCATGCGCATTTTATAGTTTATCGGGCACTTTAAAGGACTAATCCAAAGTTTGAAAATGTATTTAAATAATCAAAGAAGTTCACAGGACTTAACAGAGATGTTCAGTATTAAAAATTCTGGTTGACTTGAAGTAACTATACTATACTTTTATAGTACTTCTTTTGTACAGTGAAATCGATGACCCATTTAAAGTATGGCATTATATATAATACTGGTAAGTAACGATTTCCGACCTATATTTGAACATCATCAGCAAAACCTATTGCAATTTGTCCAGAGCTGCCAATTCATCTGGAATAGAAGTCTGATATCAGTCTCACGTTGAAAGAAATGCATTAGAGAGTATGACAAACTGAAAAAAATACACCCATTTCTTGGCAAGTGTACGTAGGTATATCTTCTAAAACTCTTTTCTTTAGATGTTCGTCTTGGTACCCGCGATGGCATTGTAATTTACCAGACATAAGCACAAACAGAGTTTCAAATAGTACTGTATCGTTTTATTAAGTCGGTACTGATACTGGAGAATCCCGGGGAGAATCCAATGATGCAATTAATGAAACCAATTGGTGATTGTTCTACAAGAGTTCATAATATTACCAAAGAGTTGTTAAACAAAACCGACGTGAAATTATTTTATGCTACTTAGTACTTAGCGATTGTTAAAATTAGATTCACATGAATGTTTTATTTGTTATTTGCTTTATTGCACTTATATCTCGATGTACATTACATGTTCAAGAGAACAATAAACTTATTAATATTAATATCAATAACATTTATTGTGAGCTATTTTAATGTTAACAGTAGTTGAAGACTGGACAGTTTGAAATAATCCTAACACGGTTTCCTATGGAAGGAGGATAATAATGATTTAAATTTAAAAGCGTGTCAATTTCGGGATTCTAATATGGTTCGCCGATGTGGTAAACACTATTTTATAAACACTATTAAGAAAGGATACCATATGTGTTATCCATAAATAATAAGTACTACTAACTACTAATTCTCAGGAATAAAAAGTTCACAGTAATCATACCTACTGTGTTTTGATACTTGAGAGATTTTGCTTATCCTCGGCCCTGTATAAAAATCAAGGTTTTATGTGTGCTTTATGGGAGTTAGTTATCACAGTTCTACTGTACTCATTCTTTCTGAATAAATAGAAACATGTATATATTATTCTTTCATTGCAT